GATGTCCTGTACACACGTCATTAATTGGTAAATGTCAAGTTTTTTTGAATAAGTTGTAACAATCTGGATCGTTTTGATGCAAATTTTTATTAAAAAGTTATCATATTAGCGTCATTACATATATCTTATCACAATTCGACCAATCGATAGCGTGTGAGTGTGTGTATACTATCAGCGAAGTTAAATGTAGAGGTTGTTTTAAATCAAAACTTAAACTTATTTTAATTAAAGGTAAAAAAGTGAAAACTTCTATTTAATAACAGATATATTTTTTCAATTAAAAAAAACTTAAGTTATCGTAATGCCATTAGATGTACAATATTTTTTGTTAATCCTTCAGGAGCATACACAAACAAATTCGAGGGTTTTCCAACTCTGGAACACGCAACATATAATTGACCGTGAGAAAAGCACGGGTTTTCTAAATCTAAGCCACAAATTGTCATTGTTTGACCTTGTGACTTATTAATAGTCATAGCAAATGCTAAGCGGATTGGAAATTGCAAGCGTTTGAATGGTATAGGCGGATCTGAAGGAATCATTGGGATCCGCGGTAGAAGTACAACTTCACCTTGAAATTTTCCACTTAAAATAGTGTCTTCCAAAATGTTACCCATGATTTTTTTTATGACCAGTCGCGTGCCATTACACAATTTCGGAGCATTCAAATTTCTAAGCAAAATTATAGGTGAACCAATCTTCAATCGCAAATTATGGGATGGCATTCCAAGTAAATCCAGTGAATTCGCGATCGCAACGCTCGAGTACGCCATCTAGCGGGAGACTGAAAATATCGGACATTAGTTTCCACAAAGCCATTGGCAATGACGGACGCCATTTCATTAGCAGCAAATAAGAAGCAAAATTTCCCTAAGGAAAAGGTAGAACTTCTTGAAAAAACTAACCAGAACATGCCAAACATTGAAGCAGAACACGCCAAGCATTTGAAGAACAATTTCTCGATAATTTTTACCTTTCTATTACCAACAACATAACTTCCAATTTCATGATCACTTGCTGTTACAGATTGTGTGTATTACGGTAAAATAATTTTTTCTGTCTTCAATTCATTTCAAATTAAAGTGAAATCAGCATTGCTTTCGTCATTCCAATGAATAAATAAGAATTCAGAATATGCACAGAACTGTATAATATATAGTTATAGAATATTATTCTTCTTTAAAGAATAGTATATATTTGTGTATCTATATTATTCGTAAAACAACAATAAAGAATCATCCGAACTACTTGAAATAGATTCATTTGTGCTGATTATTAATAAATTTGTATCGTTTTCTTGGTAATTATTATTTTTGTTTTAAAGGAATAATTTCAACTAGAATTCAGCT